AGAAAGAAAGAAAGAAAGAAAGAAAGAAAGAAAGAAAGAAAGAAAGAAAGGAAGGAAGGAAGGAAGGAGAAAAGGACAGAAAGAAGGAGGAATGAGAAAGAAGGAAAGGAAGGAAGAAGGAAAAAAAGGAAGAAAAAAGGAAGGAAGGAAAGAAGGAAGGCAGGAAAAGAAAATCACACCCAAAAGGAGTAGATGGCAAGAAAAAAAAAAAAAGCAGCTGAAATCAATTAAATAGAAACAAACAGGTAGCAACTATGGCAACAAAATAAATAAAAAGAGTAAATGAAACAAAAAGTTCTTTCTTCAAGAAAATCAATGTTTGCAAACACCCAAATTAAGCAAAATGCAGGAGAGAGAAAATCCAAATAAGAAAATGGGATGAATATGCAGACATATCAACAAGACACCAAGGGAATCCAGAGAGTCACAAAGACTCACTTCAAAAATCTGTTTTCCACCACACTGGAAAACCTAAAATAAATGGAGAAATCTCAAGACTTAAAATTGTTAAATCAAGATCAAATAAACAATTATTACAGGCCTATTACTCCTGATGAAATGTAAGTGGCAAGCAAAGGTCTACCAATGAGGGATGGGAGGAAGCCCAGGGCCAAATGGCATTACTGCAGATTTCTACCAAAATTTAAAGAAGAGTTAATGTCAATATTCCTCAAATTATTCCTTAAAATAGAAACAAAATGATCATTGCCAAATTCATTTTTTGGGGATCAGTTACCCTAATACCCAAACCACAAGAAGGACCACCAAAGAAAAAATTACAGGCCAATTTTTCTTACAAATATACATGCAAAATTCTCAATGAAATACTTGAAAACAAAGTCCAAGAATACATAAAAAAGATCACCCACCAAGATCACCCCAGAGAAGCAAGGATGGTTCAAAATACATGTTTGGATAAATGCACTTCACCATATAAATAATCTGAAAGACAAAAACCATCATCTCATTAGATACATAAGACATTTTTATCTTTTACTAAATCCAATACCCATTCAAGAGAAAATAAAAAAGTTCTGTAGAGATAAGGGATACAATATATATTTCTTAACATAATTAAGGCAGTTTACAGCAAGCCTATAGCCAACATTAACCTAAATGGAGAGCAACTGAAAGCAATTGCACTAATCAGAAACAAGACAAGGTTGTCCACTTTCTCCATACTTCTTCAATACATTATTTGAAGTCTTAGCTACAGCAATTAAACAAGGAGATACATATTGGAAAGAAAAAAGCAAAGTATCTTTATTTATAGATGATGTGATAGTATACATAGGTCATCCCAAACAATAACAATTCCACCAGGATACTTCTACAACTGATGAATATTACAGCAAAATAGCTAGATACAAAATAACTCACAAAACTTAGAAACATCCTAATACAAATGACAAGTAGACTGAAAAAGAAATGTGGGCACCAGCACTGTGGTGGTTTGAGTGGTGGTTTGAACAGGTGTGGCCCGGTGGACTCCTGTTTGTGGTTTGAAGAGGTGTGGCCCGTGGACTCAGGGGTTTGAATGCTTGGCCCATAGGGAGTGGCCCTGTTAGGAGGTGTGGCCTTGTTGCAGGCCTGGCTTTGCTGGAGGAAGCGCGTCACTCTGAAGGAGGGCTTTGAGGTCTCCGATGCTCCAGCTACACCCAGTGTGGCATGCAGTCTCCTCCTTCTGCTTCCTGCAGATCAAGATGTAGAACTCACAGCTCCTTCTCCAGCACCATGTCTGCCTGCATGACGTCATGACCACAATGGACTAAACCTCCGAAACTGTAACCCATCCTCAAGTCAGTGTTTTTCTTTATAATAGTTGCCTTGGTCTAGGTGTCTCCTCACAGCAACAAAATCCTAACTAAGACAAGCACCTTTTAAAATTACCTCAAAACTATATAATATCATGGGGTAACTAAATCAAGCAAGTGAAAGACAGGAACAGTAAAAATTTTAAGACATTGAAGAAATAAATTGAAGAAGATATCAGAAGATGGAAAGATCTTCCATGCACATAGATAGGTAGGATTAATATAGTAAAAAATTGTCATGCTGCCAAAAGCCATCTACAGATTCATTGTAATTCCTTTCAAAATTCTAACACATTTCTTTATATATCTTGAAAAGAAAATTTCAGCTACATATGGAAACACACACACACAAAAGAAAAAAAAAACAGGATAGCAAAACACTCCTGAATAATCAAGCAGCTGCAGTGTATACCATACCCCTGATCTTTAATGTACTCTAGGGCGATAGTAATAATAACAAAAATGCAGGGTATTAGCACACACACACACACACACACACACACACACACACACACACAAAACAACTCCATACTGATCAATGGACTCTAACTGAAGAACCAGACATAAGTCCACATACCTATGGACACCTATTTTTTAATAAAGAAGCCAAATATGTACACAGGAAAAAAGACAGAATATTCAACATACAGCACTGGTATAACTGGATGTTTGCACTTAAAAGAATTCAAATAGCTCTAAACTTCATACTTATCATCCTGTGCAAAACCCAACTCTAAGACCTTGGCTCTACAATGGTGTCCTGCCTGCAAGATACCCTAGTGTAATGGTAGCATGAAGCTTGCCATATAACCAACCAGTCTTTGATTTCATTTAAGACCTATTCCGTGGATGGAACCTGTATCTGATGCTTCTTGGATGACCAAGAACCTGAGACTAAATCGCCCACGGTTATTCTCACAGATTCTGCTGTTCCACAAAAGGAAAGAGGCAGTGAAATGACTTGTAATGACCTTCCATTATGCTCATAGATACACGCTTTGCTCAGCCATTATCAGATATGTTCTCTTTTGCATTCGATGGGAACAAATACAGAGGCCCACAGCTGCGTATTATGAAGCGAATGAGAGATTTAAAGAGATTTCAAAACACACAGCTTTAAATGGGATGACTATCAAATCTATCCCCTCAGGCTCAGGGAACCCTGTAAGAAGAGCCAGAATGTATATAAGTAACAGTCACAGAAGATAAAGGACACCAAGATAACGCCTTCTAAACACAGTAGGACCAAATGTGCATGTGAATTCACAAAGACTGTGGCAGCATGTCCTGTTCTGCATGGGGCCCTAGAGCGAGAGAAGTAGACCTGTGCCCTGCATCCCTGATCCAGAAGTAATCTCCAACTGATAACCACTCGCTAATGAAAAATTATTTTCTCAAATGGATTCTCGCTGGTGAAAAGAAACTACTCCTTGGGGTAGACCAAATGCTCAAGCAGTAGATGTCAACAGAAAATGAACTCATCAGCAATATTGGAGGATCCTTGTCTTATAATGTTATATTGAGGTTTCTATTTTTCTTTTTTCTTTGTTTGGTTGTTACTCTACACGTCCTCTGTTAGTTAATCATGGCTTCCAGTTTAGTGTTTTCATGGGATTTCTGAGTAAGCAAACAAATGGGTCTCTATGCCATATTGTTTCTTGAGCCTTTTCTTGGGCTCTTTTCCTTCAGTTTGTTTGTTTTGTCTTATTCCCATTTGTTGCTTTTTTATTATATCATATTATATATTATTATATTTTAAGAATTTATTATATTATCCCAGAGATGCTTGTTTGTTTTCTAAGGATAGACAGAAAGGGGAATGTATCCAGATGGGAGGGCAGATGAGGAGGAAATTGGAGAAGTACAGGGAGCAGAAGCTGTAAACAGAATATATTGTACTGAAAAATGTCTATTTTTTAATGTACATTGAGTCAGATGTTTAACTATGGGCTGTTAGGGTGTTTTATAAAATTGCTCCCATAAAAAGAAAGTCCAGTTAGTGATCAAACATCAAGGCTGACTTAACTTTGTAAGGAATAAACCCAAGATTCTAGCATTGACACATTTATTTTCACGCTAACTCTTTGCCCTCATACCTGAGTGAAAACTGAACTGAGTTCCAAGTTAGAAGAACAGAATTTAGATCAGTCAAGTCATTATTTTAAATATATGCTAAAGTTAAGCCATTTCTAGATCTAGTATTTATTAAATATGGTAAGGGGATGGAGTGAGGGCTTCAGCATTAAAAATATGTTATTGCTCCTCAAGGGGACATGAACTAATTCCAGCATCCACATCAGGCAGCTCACAACTACCTGTAACTCCAGCTCCAGAAAAACCCATCACCCTCTTCTGACCCCTTTGAGCACTG